TATATATATATATATATATATGTATATGATGTATTTATTTATTTATCTATTCGTTCGATAAAGTAGTCTTAGGTTTAACGACCGTGATAACACTGCGGCTCTTTTACATGCAATATTCGCAACTTGGAATAAAATATTCTAGTCACAGAAAGATAATTTCTCGTGAGGACTCCAGCAATTGGGCTAGGCAGCAACGTACTAAAGACATAATTAGAATATTAGTCGCGATGCGCGATTACGCGAAGTTAAGCTTCGAAGATATATGTATAGGGTTAAAGAAGAATCATATTTGGAAAGTCTACATTGTTTACGACTTTGACAGAGAAACTACGTAGCGCTAACTCTCACTCATACTTATAACGACTGATTTCTTTCTAACGAGAAATTCTCGACCGCTCATATCGAGTCATTGAGTACGAAATGTATTTTTTGTATTCAACATATCTGATATCATAAATATTTGATTTTCCATGTTTTCCATCCTTCTAAATTTTACATTTAAATGAGATTAAGAACTCTGATATCTCGTTCTGAAAAATATGAAAAACATTTTATTTTTTTATTACTAACGTATTCTATCACATACTTGAAAATTACATTTCATATGCAATGTCAGCTCGATCAACGCTGTTGAGCTCCATTAATGTAGTTCGGATACATTTTACAATTTTTCCAGTGCAATGATTGTGATTGCTCCCTTCCTGAGATTCGTTTTCGCGTATAATATGTATAATATATATATATATATATTCGAATATACAGCGAAGTTATGGGAATGTTAAAAGGATATATAAACTCGGAAATAATACCTTTCGCACACCGTTGTTATTCTGATTTCTTAAATCATCAACATCTTCGAAATAACAAATTCTGTGTTAGAAACGACGTGCGAAGAAATCATTTTCAAAATTCGAATTTTTACTTTCAAAAGGCAGAACGCCTTGATCTATTCATCAGTTCGTTATTAAGAACTCATGAACTAACTGATTCTTGAACCTGATATCTGTACTCATTTATAATTTACAGCCAACGAATGTTACTGTCTCGTTAAAATGAAAAAAAAATCGGATATTATATCTGTAATATACTCTGTATTGTTGTTGTGTGATTAAATCGAAAACCTCAAACATATACGCCAAATTTTGTTTCTGAAAACTTTATTCCATATCTCGAGAAAAATATTATTAAAAAATTGTAAAATTATTGAATATGTGATTATGATATATTAAGATTCTAATATCAATAGATAATTAAAACCAAATAAAAATTATAAGTAAATAAACATTAGTATTCAATAAGTTCGGTATCGGAAAAGGAAATGACATAACAAAGAATAGTTATATAAGAATAATATACAAATAAATAAAAAGGTATGTAGTTTGCATGTAATTCCTTATACTCTTATTTATATCCTGATATTAAAATAATGATTATATTTATATTTATACGAAATCAATCAAATTGACCATCAACTCTCGATAAGACGTTAATAGTTACTCCCAAGTTTTTAATATTGTCTATAAATAATTTCAATATCAGAACAAAAAATGATATAAATTATAAAAGATATAAAAAGTAAAGAAAATAAACTATAATATAAAACAAAAAAATTTCAATTTATAATTTATGTTGTGTTCTCACATGTTACGGTCTAAAATAAGATTCTTATTGTTTATATTATACGTCGTCTGAAAGAAGGACGTTTCCTTACATATACCGATTATTGCGAGGAATATTACTATAAGGCCTCGATAATCTAAAACCTAGGACACTCGTACGGAATACAAGAATTTGGGTTCGATTCCTGGCCGAGGTATTTTTCGCAATTTTATTTACAGTTTTTCGACACATTGACATCTTTCTATATAATACCTGATCGTGCATCAAATTATTAAGAATTGCTTGTCAATTTAATTTAATTCGTGATATTATTACAATAATTTAATTGCGTTTATAAGTCCGGAAAACTAATTGTGCAGTTTGAAGGACTACAAATATGCATGTAGATATATAAAATATAATATATAATTCACATTAAATTGTTTCCCCAATATTAATTGTTACTCATTGGGGTCAGCTGGAACTTACCCCCCGACCTAACCGTTCGGCTATTTCCGAAAGAAATGTTTCCTACAAAAGTTGTAAGGTTTTAAATAATCTATTCACTGATCTGGTCAGTTTAACCTTTGATATCGCCAAAGTCAGGCCAAGATCACATCGAGTTTTTTTAAATGGCACACTCTGTTTTTAATTCCAGAATCTAATAGCTGATATTAAGAACTTTTCAAAACTAATATAAAGTTATTTTTTTATTTTTCGAATAAGCTAAGCTAAGTTACATATCGCCGGCATTAACATTACAAGTTGTCCGACCGACGGCTAACCGCAGCACAGATTCTTGCATAACGCATAATGCACAAGGAATCAATTGAAATCTTCTTTTCCATGGAATGGAAGGAAAGGAAAGATTCTGATTAGTTGATTCGCTTATGCACTATGCGTTATGCGTTATGCAAAAGTCTATGCTGCGGCCTTAAGACCTCTTGAATGCTATTCAGGATCAGGTTCTGAATAACATTTGTTAAGATCGAGGTCATTCAAGATTGTTTCTCTTATTTCCATTTTTGTACTGAAAATTCGTTTTTACATTTTTATGTAAAATAATTCTTTCTAACAAAGCACCCTGCCTTTGTTACAATATTAATCTTATGAAATTTGAGTTTTGGTAAAATTGACTGAAATTTTGATATGTTGTAGCTTTATTCATATGAAGTTGACTCCCCTTTTGAAAAAATTAGTAATAAACAATTTATTAAGACTGTATAATGTGAATACACAATAAGTAAAAAATAAAACCTATAACGTTCGAAGCTGGATCTTAAGTTCTTTAAATTCTAACATCAACAATTAAAACTAAATAAAAATTATAAATAAATACATATTAATATTTCATTAATAAACTCAGTATCAAAAAAGGAAATGATATAACAAGAGAATAGTTATAAAATAATATCAATTATATTTATATATTACACCCTTCTAATGTGTATTAAGTATAATATATTGGTATATTTTGTACATTTCTTAAACCAACATCAACAATAGAATAAAAAAAATATAACGATGGAATGTATTACTCACATAATATTACTTCACTTTGTACAATAAGAGTGTCGTTAGTGCTTAGTAAATTTGTTACAAGTATTTGTGTAAAATTATCTTATCGCTCTTGATTTTTTAAATGATTTTTAAAATGATCAAGAAGTATCATAGCACACCCATATGCATTAACGTACATTATTCATTGTAATTATAAAAATACTTATAATAATAATTACAATAGATCTTCGTGTTTTTCTACTTCTCTTTCGAAGCTTTTGCTCTTTTATTGGCAACATAGATAATCCATACAAATCCAATCAAATTGACTATCAAGACTCTCAACTGAAAAAAAAGAACAATGTTAATAATCGCTTCCAATAAATTTTTAATATTGTCTATAAATAATTTTAATATCAGAAAAAAAATATATATAAATAAAATATATAAAGAGTAAAAAGAAAAGAAACTACAATATAAAACAAAATTTTCAATTTATATTTTATATGTACATATAAATTGAAAAGGAATTTCTAATTAAGAGTTTTTTATATGAAAATAGAGAAATATCTAGAAAGTATTGTAATAAGATAATATGCATGTTACCATTGGTGGAACATATCTTATGTTGATATAGTGGAACAACGTCAAATATTTCAGATTAGCCATCAATGTTGGTAAATATAATTTTTGCATCTGAGCATACGCCACTTGATGGGTTTTGCCCTGCAAACAAATTTCTCTTTAATGTTAAATTACAAAATAAGAATATCAAACATAATAAATTAAAATAATTTTGTGAGTCTCCAAGCATAATCCAAACATAAATAAAAATACTTGTATGAAGCAACATGATTGTTAATGCATAAATAATATATTTATGAAGCAATAAAGTAATTTGCAAACAATTGGATTGTACTTATTAAACAAAGTTAACTGCAAACGTTTGAACTCTGCAAATAGAGCTTATACTTGATTTCCGCACAAAGAGGATTTAGAGTCGAAACGTTTGCAATTAATTTTAGTAAATACATTCCAATTATTTGTGAATTATATTTTACCGTTTATAAATATTATTAATGTATAAATATATTATTTATATACTAATAATCGCGGAAGATCATACAAGACATTTTACTTTTACATGTATGCCTATATATACATAGTTACATACTACGATACATAGTCTATAATTTATATGTACGTAAGCTTGCCTAATAATTTTAGTTTCTAATAATATTATTTGTTTAGATAGCATTGTTTAATTTACGACATTATAATACATTTTTATCTTATGCTTATAAAAGCAGCTATTGCAACAGATTATGATCTTCATACCTCAAAGATAGCAAGTAGATAGAGCGCAAGAGCTTGGAAACACGGTGTATAAATGAGTCTCTCTATTAGAAGAATTCCTAGAGGATGTTTCACGAACAATTGTATATATGTATAAAAGTAATGGGGTACCGGACCTCCAAACAATAGTCTGCAACAACATTCGTACATGAGATTACGTAAATTTTTCAAAGCTATTTTGTTAACAGTGCATATGACAGTCACCCAAATAGAGCAAAAGCCAAGATACTGTCTTCATTAAGTCCTTTCCTGTCCGACTTGATGCCGGATAATTTCTGAGATACTACATTTCCAAGGGCGCCGATAATGCAACTAAAAATAATTATACATTTCTTGTTTTTCATCACATATATATAATAAATTAGTTTA